TTTAATTTGAATGTCGGATTGAAATGAACATCGCTGTTATTAGAGTAGTTAATCGTTAGCATAAGCGCGCGGCTAACGCTAATATAATGAGTATTAGAATGAAATTTCTTTATTAACTATTTAATGCTCCTATAACTTTTATTAGGGTAAAAAAACAGGAGGACATGATGATATTTAATATTTGAAATTTTTTAATTAGCATGTTTTTGTGTTTTGCTTTGGTACCGAAATTGGTACCGAGAACTGTGGATTTGCAATAGAGATCAATACAAAAATGCCTGTTTAACAATAGCAGCAGTGATAACAAAATGCGGATTCATTCAGGAACCAAACCGCACTAGGTTGCTCGCAGACGCTCAACTCTTCCGATGCCTGTCCGATCTGATATGCGATGGGAAAAGGGAGAAGAATGGGAGTAGAACGAGTTCGGCAAAAGGCAGATTTGAACTTTGGCCGATCACGTCAAAACATTAATCTCATAATATTATTTATGCAATTATAATTGCTTTAAATGCATTCATGCCACCCATCTTCATTTAGAGGTGGTTAACATAAAAACAAGTTAATATGTCCCTTAACTTAAGTATTCCAAAGTACTGTATACCAAAGTACTTAGGTTAAGTTAATAAACTTGAGTAATCTATCAAAATACATTACAAATTATTTTTTAAAGCATGTGTTTTGTAATCGGTAGTGAAAGTATCCTTCCCAACCCTGAAAGTACTGTATGTCACACTAGGATGAAGTTTGTAAGACTGACAGTGCTAGCATACTCCTTACTATAAGTATACTATATAATGGCATATATCAAGCATATTTTGTTAAAAAATATATTAACATTTGTCAGTTCAATTCATGAAAGATACTAAAAACTGTGGTCACATTGGAAAAACCAACTGCAGTATTTCACACCGTGTACTTGGCACATTTAGGTAAATGTACAGTACAATCTAGAACACAATGTGCATACTGAATAAATACTGCAAAAATAGAACAAATGACATGGTACAGTGCCAAACTGTGTGCTGTATGTGAGTCTGTGTTGAGAAATTACGCAAGACGGAAGTATGTGTGTGTGTTTAATGTGCTGGAGAGCCAGTGGGGGCTGCAGAAACAGTCCAGAGTGTTTAGACGGGTTTGATCGGCCTACACACAGCAGAGGTGTACAGAACTCACGCAGAGTCTGACACACACAACATGACTCACACACACACACCTACCGAAGCCAGAGAAAATGGGGAAAGCAGGCAGGAAATGAACACAGAGGTCAGACGGTGAGACAGTAAGACAGGGAGAGGAAGAGAACAGTAAAATAGTAGAGAAGAGGACACGGCTGCCATAGAGGAATATAGAGCAGTAGACCAGAGTATGAGAGAGTTCAAACAGACACATAACCATACAATGGATCGATTGTGTGGATAACTCTTGCAAAACATTCATATTTTCTCAAAGACAAAGAGAACAGAGATGATACACACACATCGCATAGTGGATATCTGTAAAGTATGCATATGCATTAATATACTATACAGTGGTTTATCTGTGTGTGCTGGTAAGTAAACATCTCAAGTTAGATCTATTTAACATCACAACTGTTTCTGCTAGACCAAACTGAGGTCAAATGGAGAACATATGCTGTGATTGTACTCAAGTGCACAAATACCAACGTTTACGATCAATACGATTCAGATATCATTATAAAGCAATATTAATTCCTTATTCTGTATGACCCTTATTCTGTAGGATCCCCTAATCCTACCCCACACCTAAACTTAACAACTATCTTACTAACTATCAATAAGCAGCAAATTAGGAGTTTATTGAGATTATAAAATGGTTTAAAAAATATATATAAATATTAGATGAAAAAAAAAAATTAACTTAAAAAAAAAAACTAAAAAAATTAGATATTCTGCTTTGGCAACTAACTGAAGTAAAATATGCATAAGTTGTAGCGCAAAATTTATTAAAACTAAAACTGAAATAAAAAATAAGAAGAATATAAAAACAGTCACTTTATTTTAAGGTACAGTTCTCACTATTAACTAACTATTAAGTATTATTATAACCTCTATAAACTCCTAATTTACAGCTCATTAATAGTTAGTAAGGTAGTTGTTAAGTTTGTATCTATAATGTATCTAGAATATGGTCATACAGAATAAGGCATTAATATGTGATTTATAAGTACTAATAAACAGCCAATATGCTATAAATATGCATGCTGGTAGTTAATAGTGAGAATTGGTCCTTAAATTGTTACCAAAACATTAATAAAAATGACAGTGGATAGAAAAATTACTAAATCTTTAACTAAAATTATAATGAAAACTGAAAATATAAAAATAAAAGCTAATTGAAAATTTTAATGAATAACAATATAAAAATAATACTAAAATAACACTGTTGTAGCTGTAGCAGGGATGGGCGATATGGGCTTAAAAATATATCACTTCTGGTATTTATTGCAATAACAATATCAATGACGATAATTCAGGGAATCTTATGCATCCACTAAGAGACAAAAAATCCTGTTTCTTTAGAGAAAAGTATTATCTTCCCTATTTTTACCCTGGTGTTGTGAGCATTACTGAGTACACACATAATGTAATGACTATTTCATACTGGAACCCGGAGGGCGCCCTTGCGCAAAGACTACACATATGCATTGCAGAAGTAACTGCACTGAAGACGCTCCAGGAAATCCCTTATATGGACAAAAGTATCCAGTTATTGCTGTAGCTGAATAAAACGCAGATAGAGAAATTTTAACTGAGGAAACTCGAAGACAATAAACATACGATTGCGACAATATATGGTTTATCTGTGTTCTTCAAGCAATCTTGGGTATTTGGATAAAGTATATTTATAATGCAATGCTAATTGATATAGCCTTTATCACTGTATATAATACTATCAAATAGTATGATTTATGACTCACTCTGTGATATGAAACCACGTCTGATCACAAAGTTAGTATGTTTGTAAACAGACTCATACACATGCAAAATGTCATGTCGCTCCACATGGTCGTACATAAAAATATGTCAACAACTAGGCTTTATCGTTATTATCACGGGAAGACTAATTCTTATTGTGGGGAGAATTTTTACCGGTATATAGCAAACGATAAGATATCGCCCATCCCTAAGCTGTAGAATTGAATAGAATACAATAGAATAGAAACTCAAAACTCCACTAGGTTTCCTGAGCTTAGAAAACAGCAAAATCTGAATAATAAAATAAAGCATACAGTATTAGCAGCACAATTCTTTGTTTGTTTGCACGCGTGTGTGTGTGTCTGTACCTTTATTGGTGAGATGTGTGTGTGTGGGGCGTAACTGTGCATGGAGTCCATGGCAGCCAGGTTCTTATCGCTCATGTGAAGCATCTCAGCACTCTTGCTGTGAGCCAGGTGGGCGGGGCTGTGCTCCAAGGGCGGAGTCTCTTCATCCTGATACCGATATTTCTACAGAGAGAACAAGAGAGAAGGAGTCACATACTCAAACCACATTCTGCAGATTTGCATTATATTTAGTCTACAAATGCAAACAAATGCAGATTTATTTGGCACAAGATACAACATGACCCTGAAGAAAGTTCTCAGGGTAAACTGATTCATGCATTTCTCATCAGTTTCAAGCCCGTCTTTCTCTCGTCTGCAGCTGCACACTGAAGCAGAGGATAAATTAAAGATCAGAAGATTTCCCACAATCAAAGATCATGTAAGTGTGAATACCAGCTGGATTGAAACATTGCAACATTTATTACCACTAGTGCTCAGAAAATATAACGCTGATGGCATAATATGCCACTGGCAGAAAAATCACAATTCTTAATATGTCTCACCTTATAATTAAAGGAATAGTTCACTCCAAAATGAAAGTCTGCTGAAAATTTACTCACTCTCAGGCCAAAGCTGTAAATGAGTTTGTTTCTTCATTAGAACGGATTTGGAGAAATGTAACAATACATCACTTGCTCACCAATGGATCCTCTGCAGTGAATGGGTGCCGTGAGAATGAGAGTCAAACAGCTGGTAAAAACATCACAATAATCCAGGGGTGGCGAGCCGCTTGCGGCTCTTTCACTGCTCTTGTGCGGCTCTTCAATCTATCCACATGTTCTATGTTTACAATCTCAATTTATTTTTAAAATATCAAAACATAATTTTGCAATAAAGGGGTATGTATTTAAATGCATTTGCCGCATTTAATTTGGATTTTTAATATGTATTATTATTATTTATTTATTTTACACAACCTCTCGCGCGATTTAACATACCTTAGCCAGTTGACACACGATTGACGTGAAGTTCGTTAGTATCAATCGTCATGGCATAGTCAGGTAAGCGTACAGCTAAGTGTAAATACGAAGATGAGCACAGAACATTTTTATTTGAATGGGAGGATTTATATTTTTTTGTTGAAAGAAATGGAAAGCCATTCTGCTTGATATGCCAGACTTCGTTGTCACATTTTAAGGCTTCAGATCTTGAGCGCCATTTCACCTCACTCCATTTTACATTGCTCGTGCAAAAAAAGCCATACCTTGAAGGGGAATTTGTTAAAAAGTGCCTCAGTGATGCTGTTGCTATTCTTTGTACCGAAAAAGAACCAGATTACATTTCTGATCAACCCATTCACTGCTGAATCAGACTGTTTAAAAGCCCCTTTAGTGGAAGATGAAGCACCATCTCAGCTTGAAATGATCGAACTTTCTGAGGATGACAGACTTAAAAGTGTTATGAGGGAAGGAACCGTGGAGTTTTGGAAGATTGTGCCGGTTGATTGTGGAAACCAAGGACTGTCAGGTGTCCCACTGAGTCAAGTAAGAGGAGGTAGGCTGATTTAAATCCATGAAAACTATTGCGTTATGTAATTAGGCATATAAGTTATTGTGATATACTGTTGTTTGCATATCTGTTGTGTGGCTCTTTGCAGTGATAAAGTTTTTTTTTGGCTCATTATGCCAAACAGGTTCGCCACCCCTGCAATAATCCATAAGTAATCCACACCACTCCAGGCCATCAATTAACATATTGTGAAGCCAAAAACTGCCCGTTTGTAAGAAACGCTTCACAATACATTAAATGATGGACTGGAGTTGTGTGGATTACTTGTTTTTATCAGCTGTTTGGACTTCTGACAGCACCCATTCACTGCAGAGGATCCATTGGTGAGCAAGTGATGGAATGCTAAATTTTTCCAAATCTGTTCCTATGAAGAAAATATTCAACTACATATTGGACGGCCTGACAGTAAGTACATTTTCATTTTTGGGTAATCTATCCCTTGAGGAAAACCAGTTACCTTATTTATATATCCTGAATAGTATGTGAGGTTAGAATTAATGTTTCTCAGATTATAATATTTTATAATTTATACACCATAGTTTCCTGAAAAGAAAAATATATGCTTCCAAGTGTGCTTTCAGAACAATGTAAATGCATTTTCAGTCTGTTTTGAGCAAAAGCCCCATTTATAATACTCTTTTCTGATTTGACCTCCAACTGGAATTTAAGGTTGGCAAACAGATTTGGATATTTTGTTCTTTTCCCTTTCAAGCAGACAGGAATTGCATTACACCAGTTGTCTGGAGGTGCTGCTAAGATGGCCACCAACTGAAGTGACTTGAGGCTTTGTTTGTATCAAGATCAGACAGAAAGAATCCTTCAGTCTGACCAGGATTGAGAAAAGAAGGAGGGGAGAGGGGAGGTACAGTAAGCAAGATCACATTACAATGATCCAGCAACAGCACAATGACTGAGAGAGAATGCAGGAACAGACAAGTGCAAAAACACAAATGTGGAGATAAAATGAACAGAATAGAACATAAGAATATTATAATAATTGAACATTTGCAGTGTGAATTTGCAATGTGACAATTTAATTTGCAATGTGACAAGTGTCAAATCCAAGGAGAGGACCTTGGAAGGTTTCAGGCCCCACCATAGCACAGAAACTGCACTTGTTAAAATTGCAAATGACTTGCTTCTTGCGTCAGACTAAGGCTGCATCTCATTGCTAGTTCGTCTTTAATTGATTTTTCCATACATTTCTGCCATATGTACATAAACTGACAGTCACCACTGATAAGCTACTACTAAATATTGTAGAAACTTAATTTTCTGTAAAGTTGCCTTGCAACGATTTGTATCGTAAAAAGCGCTATACAAATAAACTTGAATTGAATTGAACTGAATTGAATTGAATTTGATCTCAAACTGATTGCCAAAAATCACGTTTTTACATTTTTCAGGGAATCCACCTACAAATTATTTATTTAGTTGTCTCTGCATTTAAGCTGAGATAAGAGTATGAACATATAAAATAATGCACCTCTCAGCTTTAACACAACTTATCTGTAACTTCTGTGAGCACTTCATCATCTTAATCCTGTCTGTTATTCACTTGATTGTCACAAACGTTATCCAGTTCATCCAAACTACCAAGATAATATGTACTGTACGTTTGAGAAAGTTTTCTCACTGTCTACCAAACTCTGCAGTTTATGATAAACATCATTTATGGTAAATTATCTATAATGACAGTAAAGAGGCAATACAGTATGTGGGAACTAACACCAGTGTTCAAAGAATCTGTGAGGAGATATATAATTAGACACACACACACACACACACATAGCAGGACTAGTACCCGTTACTACACTATCTGCAGCCACAGAATTCTGCTTTATTAAATATTTAATTTGATGATGCTTTCAGTTGTCGATACTTTCTACATAGTCTACTTTTCTCAGCTCATTTTAAAAGCCTCATGAAAGAGCTTGACAAGCACCTTTTTATTTCCTTTACTGACGTACTTCCTGCTAAAACAGGATTGAATGGGGTTATCTTTAAGCAAATAAACTTGCTGTACTTTAAGGGAATTAATTACATTAAATTGTATGTAGTTTTGTGTATTTTTGCGATTCTGTAGTAGAATTATCTTACAGTGAATAGCTGTAAGGCCGTAGGCACCAGTGCTGTAGGTAATCACAGCATGCCGATATACAGTCATATCTCACAGCTATGAGTGTGATATGGTGTTTATACAACAGTTCGATGGCATGAGTGTGTAAATACATAAGAAACAAAAATGGAGTGTCTTTAAAATCCCTCTTTTGTACAGAACTACTTCCTTCCACCACAGATTTAAATCTCAGTTTGAAAGTTTAACAGCTGAGCCCAAGCCTTCGTTACTAATTGCTAGGGCTGTCGCGATAACCGCAATATCGCAATACCGCGCTATTGTAACGGGGAAAAGAAACTTGTAATGAATTGTGCCAAAATGATTGTTCATATTGCAAGATAATTCTAAGATATTAATTGAATAGAATGTATTAAGTACATCTAAAAGAAAGGGATATGGGGACACCTACAGGTGACTAAGGTAACCTATCAGTGGAGTCGGCCATTTTCTCCTCAGTCGCATGAAAGCCGTTGAGGAGAATGGTAGGTGTAAAATCTCTCTCCGGTCGAACAGAAATAAAATGTTGTCAGAGATGATTTTATTTCTCTTTAAGGTCAAAATTGTTATTTTAAAAGTATTTTATTTCATATTTGAGTCATAAGAGATATAGAGTTGACGGATAATTGATGTTTTATACCGAACTCACTGTTGAGTGCATTAGGAGCACATGGTATTCGTTGTGTTTCTGTCTCTGTATTTTCTCGTTGCTTATTTTCACATGTATATTTATTTTTGACAGTTATGAGACCGGATGAGCTGTATTTCATGTCTGTTTGGTGTCATTTCTTATATTCCAGGTATGATGTACTAATGTTCTTATGATGTTATATTTTCTCTGTTCAGAAAACAACAGAAAAAGAAATTGAGCTCTTAATTATGGAAAAACTGATTTATTGTTTGTTGAACTGGTAAATCAGTCGCATGAAAGCCGTTGAGGAGAATGTTATGAGACCGGATGAGCTGTATTTCATGTCTGTTTTGTGTCATTTCATATATTCCAGTAAATGTGATGAGTGAGCTCAGCCTACGTCTCCGTGTTGTCCTTTCCGGAAGGGTCGAAAGAAAGAACCAGGAAAGTGGGGTTACACTTACAGCATTCATTCTTAAGCTCAATCTCATATTCATATTAAATACTATTATTAAATACTACTATTTTTATATTAAATATTATTTATTGAATAATAATATTTAATAAACAAAAACAGCCATCAAAAAGTTGTTAGGCAATTCAGTCAAACATACAGAGGCGGCGCTCTGATATACAGCATTGAAGTTACAAATATAACATGATGAGATTTTGCCCTCAGCCAAAACTATTTGCTCTGGAACAAATAATAGATTAATGGGACCAAACTTTAGATTTACCCAAAACAAATAATATCTCATGTTTAACCACTACAGAGCCAGCGGCAAATTCCAGAAGATCTGGCCGAGGTGTGGCGCTCTCGGCGGGTTTATGAATGCTGAATGGCCACTGACACCCTGGAGCTCACAT